CTGGCCTCCCAGACAGCAGACTGGGGTCCATGTGCTCCCCCTTGTTCAGGCCATCTGATTCTGTGGGTTTCACCAGCCTGGTACTGACCCTTTTGATCTTCATTCTTCCCTCTCTGCAACTGGGTTCCAGAGTTCAGTTCAGTGTATATCTGTGCATGTCTGCCTCTGCTTCCATCAGCCACTGGATGAGGGCTCTAGGATGGCATATAAAGTAGTCATCAGTCTCATTATAGGGGAAGGGCATTTAGGTTATCCTCTCCACCATTGCCTAGAATGTCAGTTGGTGTTATCCTTGTAGATCTCTGGAAATCTCCGTAGTACCAGGTCTCTCCTTGGACCTATAATGGCTCCCACTGATATGGTATCTCTCATCCTGCTCTCTTCTATTCTTCCCCCAACTCAACATTTCTGGTCCTCCATTTCCTCCTCTCCCCTCCTGTTCTGCTCCTCTCATTCTACCAGCTCCCTCTCTCCTATACTCATGCTCCCAGTTAGCTCAGGAGTTCCTACCCTGTCCCATTCTCTGGGGTCCATGCATTTTTCCCTTAGAGTCTTTCTTGTTTCCTAGTTTCTTTGGAGAAGAGGATTGTAGGCTGGAAATACTTTGCTCTATGTCTAATATCCATATATGAGTGAGTACATACCCTGTTAACCTTTCTGTGTCTGGGTTACCTCACTCAGGATGGTTTCTTCTAGTTCCATCCATTTGCCTGCGAATTTCAAGATTCCATTGCTTTTTTCTGCTGAGTAGTACTCCATTGTATAAATGTACCACATATTCTATATCCATGCTTCAGCTGAGGGGCATCTAGGTTGCTTCCAGGTTCTGGCTATTACAAACAATGCTGCTATGGACATGGTTGAACATATGTCCTTGTTGTATGAACATACATTATTTGAGTATATGCCCAAGAGAGGAATTGCTGGATCTTGAGGTAGACTGATTCCCATCTTACCAAGTAACATTCTAGCTCCTCCCAACATGGAACTCTGAGGCAAGTAGATTCTGATTTTTAATGCAGTCTTGATTTTTAGCAGTTTCCTATCTCTCATGAGAGCTGTGTATGGACATATACTGGGTCATATGCTTGGAACACAATCTCTCCTCCTATTTGTAAAATTTAACTCAAATTCTACTATAGTTATATTCCATTTGGGTTGTTCATTACCATTTCTTTCCAGAACTATTCTAATTTACATTTGAAGGGCTAAGTATATGGCTCAGTGATAGCATGCTTGTCTAACATGAACAAGATCTTTATACATACACACAGACACAATACACACACACACAGACACAATACATA